CTACGCTAACCCTAACCCTAACCCTAACCCTAACCCGGATACCGTAGCCCTAACCCTAACCCTAACCCTAACCCTAACCCTAACCCTAACCCTAACCCTAACCCTAACCCTAACCCTAACCCTAACCCTAACCCTAACCCTAACCCTAACCCTAACCCTAACTCGCACTCCTAATTCACACAGCGGTTCTCGGGTTTCTCGGCCATCTCCACTATCTCCGGCTTATCTCCGGATTTTCCCCGGATTCTGCCCGGCTTACCCTAACTTTGCTGCTGCACTGCCACTGCCAAGGATTTCAGCCACAAAGAACACCAACATTCTCTCACAAACTTCAACCCTCTGTAACTTTACAACGAGAAGAGCTATAAAAAAGATAGTTGCAGATCTGGAATCGCCTCGCAATTCTGCGTAATATAGCCTACTAGAATATATCTGCAAACTACCAGAACGTTGAGAGAAACTGCGATGAATGTCAGAGTTTTGATGTTCCTTCACCTATAACTTCAAAGCCTTGCATCTCAACGAGTATTAGAGCTATGAATAAACCGTTTGGAGATCTGGATTCCCCTTGTAAAACTGCACAAAATGGCTTCTTAGAAATATATTATTTCCCTCTAGAAGGTTATTCATTTCCACGTTGCATTCCCACAACATAGCGCCTTGCCAAGGCCTATTCTAATTGGCTAAGCTCTGCATTCCCACTGGAAATGCAGGTAGACTCGAGGACAGATAATGCTCTACGCATAGCTCTTGCATATAGCTATATAGTATAGTAGCAAATACTTAAAAATACTATTAAATTATTCTATTATAAATATCTATAAACTCTATCTATAGAGCTTAGTAGTAAGTAATAAATTTATGCTGCCTATAAGTTAGAGTGCACTCTCTATATATTAGTATCTAGAGTTACTAGATGCTATATGCTTATAGCACGCAGCATTATAGTATTATTATACTTAGCTTAGCTATTAGAGTTGCTCTAACGCTTAGATTAGGCGCAGAAACTCTAATATTAGAGTTTATAACTCTAGATTAGTAGTCTGCATAGCTCTATTTTTATAACTTTAAAGAATACTAATATTAATATATATCTTAATATGCATTATAACGCGCTAATATCGCATAAAAATTCTAAATAGTGCAATTAATAGCGCTAACTCTACTATACTTTTAGCTTAAGTTATATTAAAATTAGCTCTTACGCAGAGTCTTATTCTTTAGAAATTTAAGTTTAAAAGAATAAGCTCTTAAGGATTTAGAGTTTCTTAAAGAATAAGCTCTATTCTAACTCTTATTCTTTAATCTATTAAAGATAGATTATTATAGAACTTAACGCATTTAATGCGCATTAATTTTCTGCATCTTATACTTAAGTTATAGTTAATTTAAATATTATTTAGAGATTAGTTCTATTAGTTTTCTTAAACCTAGGAACTAATATCTAAAGATTTAGAGTTTCTTAGAGAACTAATATAGAAATCTATATTAGTTCTATTACCTATTAAAGATAGTAAGACTAGAAAAGCTTAGCATACTAGGATATACTAGAATAATAGAATTTAACTAAAGCATATAGTATATAGATAAGACTTAGAACTCTTATAGTTTAGTATCTTTAACTTTATATTATAAATTACTTTATATCTTAAGTTACCTAATATATTATACTCTTTATAGAAGCTTACTCTTACTATCTTAGTATATCTAACCTCTATATCTAGTGCTACTTTACTTTATCTACGAAAACTAACTTAAGCTCTTTAATACTAGCTATCTAATTATTAGCTACTTAATAGGTTTTAATATCTCTTATCTAGGCTAGCTTAGTACTATTATTAACCTAATATTAGAAATTCTAATATATATAAGCAAGTAGAGATAATATAATATAAGGTAATAAATAAAGCTCTACTTAAGATAATTTAGAAATAACTTAAAGACCTTATACTTAAATAATAAGTACTTATATAGTTCTAGCTTATACTTTATCTAAGCTAAAGAGGTATATTAGATATATAGCAAGTGCTTAGAGTTAGATCTATATAATTAAGCAGAGACTTAGCCTATAACTGCGTGCAGCTAAGTAAAATATACTAGTAGTGCTTAGTAATAACCGTAACACGAATAAAACCTTAAGATAGTCTAAGAAGATAACAATAATGTATTAAGTTATTACACATTATTTAGATTCTATCTCGTAAACCTATTTAATCTGACAATTGCTATATAACAACAAACCTATACAGAAGGCTCCTCTCTTCTCTCAAAGCCCTCAAGCTTTCTCTCTGTCCTCGCTATATACTCATTAGCAACACGCTCATAATCCAGTATCCCAGTTCCCCACAACGCCTTCTTCGCTTTAAGATATGCTTCTTCAGGCGACGCAGGTGCTACAATTCCGTCTCCTTCTGACGTAAAGTACGACGGCGTGCACGTCGCTAACGCCGCAAACCACGGTGCCCTCACCGCCACCTCATGTGACCACTTATCCTCGCCCTCCTTTGAAGCCTCGATGACTAGCCTTTCAGGGTGCTCCGACTGCCGCGACGCTTCGGCGATGATGTAGGCTGTCCAGCGCGCCGCAATGTCAAATACGGACGTCATGTTATACGACGCTCCATAACCGGCGTAATTGGCAAACAGATTAGGATATTCGTGCATGGCTAAGCCGAATAAAGTGCCGAAGTCAGAACTATGCCACTTGTCGTCTATGGTTCGGCTGTTTCGTCCTATAATGGGTGCATCCATACGATCGCTCGGCGTCAGGTCGTGAGCGGGCGCGAAGCCTGTGCCGAAAATCACGATGTCAACTGTGATTTTCTCGATCGCCGATCACGATGCCTCGCTCCGTGTAGCTCGTGACGCCTTTGCCGTCTGTGTCGACGAGTGTGACGTTGTCGCGGTTGAAGGCCTCGAGATAGTTGTCGTTGAAAGTGGGTCGTTTGCACCACCCGGAATACCAGGGCTTCAGCTTTTCGGCGACGTTTTGGTCTTTGACAACGGTATCAATGCGGCTGCGAAGCTCTTCTGCAATTGGGCCATCCAACTCGAACAATTTCTGAATATGTGCATCGATTGTATTGGGATCGACTGGCCAGGCGTTACCGCCTATCAGACCAGCTCGGGCTTGGTTTCTGCTCCAGCCATCGTTGACAAGGTCAACGGGCTCTGGATTGGCATTGAGGTAGCTGTTGAGGTTTGTACGCCTCCGTGCTTGCCAGCCAGATCCAACTGCCACCTGGGCCCAATCTTCGGCAGTTGTTTCTTTTTGACCACGTTCGCCACAGTAAGAGGGAGTGCGTTGCACGACGTAGAGGTGCTTTGCCCACTTGGCGAGCTCAGGTACAGCTTGGACTGATGTTGCTCCTGTGCCTATGATGGCGACTGTTTTGCCTTGTAGCTTGGTCATGTCAGGTCGCTCTTGGCTGCCTCCGGTAATCGTGTAGTCCCATCGAGAAGTGTGGAATACATGATGGTCCTTACGGAAGTCGGAAAAACCTGGCAACTTGGGTACCTTGGGGACGGCGAGAACACCTCCAGCCATGAAGACGAATTGAGCGTTCACGGTAAATTTAGTAGGCGGACGGATGGATCCGAATGATTGAGTGAGGTCGATGATCCAGCGGCCCTTTGTTTCATCCCATACTTGACGGTCCACCTTAGTGGAGAACAGTCCCTGGAGACCATAGTGGGAGGCGATCAATTCTACATTGCGCCTTATCTCGGCACCAAATGAGTACTTGTGCTTGGGTACATAACCTGTCTCCTCCAGCAATGGCAGGTAACAGTAGCCTTCCACATCACACATCAGCCCGGGGTAGCGGTTCCAGTACCAGGTGCCCCCGTATCCTCCAGCAATATCGACGAGGACGATATCCTTAGGGTTGAAACCAGCATCAATCAGGCGGACTGCAGAGAGAATACCATTGTGACCTGCGCCGCAAATAAGGAACTTGATTGCGTCGCCGTCTCGTACTGGAGGGTCCGTCTTGGCCAGAGTCTCGTAGTCTACCCATGGATCCTGGGCAAGGTCTTGAACCTCGGGAGAACGAATATCGATGTATTGGGCTATTCCCTTTGGATTGATGCGTTTCTGACGCTCCTGGGCATATTTCTCTTTTAGATTGATGGCCATTGTCGTATGTTAAGGTATTGAACAAAATTGTGAGTGTGGAGCAGCAAAATGTGTAAGAGACGAGGTGGCTTGTGGAAGTGAATGTTCAAATCTCCTTGCTTTGGGACGGATAGCCTCCTGGTTATATACTTAGGGCTTTAGCAACTTTATGTAGACCAAGGCTCGTCTGTATCGAGACATGACATTGCTCATATTGCTTCCTATTGGTTATAAGTTAGGTCCGGTACGTTAGGTAAGGAAATGCTTGCAGCGGATTGGTTAATGTGAACGGCATCTGTCTTAACCCGAGTGAATTATAGAACTAGTATGAGTGGTTCATTTCAACGGGGTTCGAATCTCGGAGACATCGGTCAGAGGATGAGTTAAGGTTTGCAGATAGTCCGTGTCAGAAAGATGGAGCCTCATCCTTGAGCATGTGGTCTTGTGGCGTCGGATGGCCGGAGGAACGAGCTCCGAGCGAATCAGACCCAGATAGTCCCGTCCTCGAGCCCGGCTTACGTGATATTTTTATACTCGATCGTTCTTCGGCTGCTAGACTTGCTTGGCTATGTACACGTACACAGTATATCGCGAGGTTATACGGTATACGGTCATACGGTATACGGTCGGTGGTCTCTCTTCCGGGCTGGTGTCCGTGCACAAAATGCGGTTGAAAACCGGGAAAGGCGCTCAATTTCCCCCGCATTTCAGTGGAACTATGGAAAGTAACTTACCTTCAAATATTTGCGCATAAACAACGTCTCTCTATTTCATAACTGTGTCTCCTGTTGCAGGCCTTCGTGCAAACAACATCTTCGGTGCAGCGCTGTTGCCGCAAGTACTTTCCGTCTTCACGCAGATACCGCCTCTGCCACGGCAGCAGGTATTCACGACACGAATAAAGGCAGCATCGCAATCAGGATCCGGGCTGCAAGCCTGGCTGCTGCAAGGAGTGGTTCCCGGAACGCAAAGCTTGCCCCCACGAGTGAGTGAGCCGCGAAGGCAACCGCTGCCACAGGCTTTGTAGACTTGACAATTTGCGCCAGCGCACGAAGGGTTTGCGCACATCCTTTCTGGCAAACACCCCTTGCCCACTTCAAGAGAGTCAGCGGTAGTCCTAATACGGTACGACACGTAATCGCGGCGCGACATGGACCAACAAGACATGGATTCACTCTGTATGCAGTAAGCTCTCTTGATGGCATTGGTATAAGCGGTCTCGAACATCCACCAAATGAGACTAGGGCTGAGGGCGAAGAATCTTCGCGGGATGTCGTGGCACATGGCTTGTGAGCTGCATTTCTATCAGCAGGTTCGTATTTCATCTCGAGCTCTCTGTCTATGCCTCTCTACTTGCTGTTGCATCGCTCGCTTGGCGGCTTAACCTGATCATTTCTTCGAGTGCCGCCATCATGCGCTCATCCGTCTCTAGCCGCTGACCATTGGGCATCATGTCCAAGCATTGCATATCGGGCCTTGCGTGCGATCGGCTTTCTCTTCTTAGAAAGGCCATATGTGGTCTATGTCCTGGTTTTGGGAGCGGTCTAATCAAGGCTGACGTGTAGTCGAAGATGATGCGTTTGGCATTCGCCGTCCCATCGTGATTACAGATCTTGAACGTCTCTAAACTGTTCTGGAGCACACAGAACCGCACGAGAGGTTGCTGCATGTCGAAGTCTGCTTGGAACTGGAGGGGAACTGCTACCGTGACGTAGGTAAGATACAGCGCCAGCAAAGCTCGAAGGTATGCGAAAGCCTGAACGAAGCTTCCTTCGTTGCGACTTTCCCGATGATCACTCGCTCTACCGTAGGTGCAGCATAACTGAACGGTGACATTCCGAAGTTGCGCATATGTTTTTACTTGAGGGGTATGAAGGTGGACCTGCTTCGACACTTCGAGGGCTTCTTCGGCGCATCGCATCAGTAAGCCGTGGAACTCGGCTCGGATCTGTTTGCACGATAGCAACAAGCCCTTCACTTCCCGTATGTTCGAGGAATTTGGCAGGAGATTGCTGTATACCTCGTTGCGGAGTTCGCCGGAGAGAGACAGCAGCGATGGTGGTCGGTATTCTGCTACATGGCGTCGTTGCAGCGGTTGCTTTTAGAAAGCTATGATGCTCGCATTGGTATCAAAGGTCCGATCTGGGTCCTTGGAGATCTTTGCGCTCAGATCCATTGTCGTGGTCGATAGCAGAGCATACTCACCAGTTGCTTTGATCCAATAGTAGTCGATGCAGTTTAATCTTAGAAGTGCCGTGTAGATGCTGATGGCGTAGCTATTATCCCCCCTTTTGAGTACAATTTGAATTTTGAATGGCAAGGGATCCCTGAAAGAGTGCTTTGGTTAGTTGAATTCCATCTTCGTTGTGTGTGCTGTGCTGAGCCACCAGCGCCACCTTGGACCTTCGCACTACATATTATGGAATTCCAGCAGAATCACAACATGCGGCACATCCTTTTGTTCACAGCTTGGTATGCATAATCTTATCTATAGCGTGTTCAGGCGTCATGCAGGCGACTAATCAAGGATAGAATGGTTTGCGCCGGTGTCCGAGATTTGAAAATCGCCTCATCGACTTTGAGGCCGGCCACAGGCATATTGCGCAGGGTGGCGCTAGAACTTTGCGTTGTCCTTCGCAAGAAGTGGTTCGCTAGAGGGGATGAGCATGAAGAAATTCATAATACGTGAAGCTTGTACCCCAGGGCCGGTACCCGACACTAGTTAGAGAAGCTTGCGCTGGTCACGGGTACGGGTAGCTTGTCCATCTTGGATCAGGTCCCACATATGTATGCACCATGTTGCGGACCCATCTACCCACCAATTTCGGATTTCGTGTAAGGCAAGGTCTGGCCCCAAAACGCTGCATATCCGTTACTCAAGCTCTGCTGCTTTCATCCCCGTAGTTTTCATACCTACAGCTGCATGCTGTAACGATCACTCATCTTCCCCACCTTGCAGCTACAATGAGCACTAAACTAATAAGCAATAGCAAGGGCCCCACCACCGTAATGTATACCCAGAATTTTGGTTCTCCTGGTAAGAATTCTCCGCCCATTGACATGATCCCAGCAACGACTGAGAGCGGTACAAAGAATGTGCCGAGCAGCGTGAGCCATCTGACGGATTTTGCCTGCATGTTACTTGCTTGTGCCTCTCTCAACGCTACTACCTGTGTGTACAAGGTAGTAAGTTGCTGAAACATATCTTGCAAATCGGTGCATTGAGCATGTACCACGCGCCACATTTGAGCTTCGCGCTTGCCCACGAATCCATAGCTTTCAAGGTCATTAACATCGATTCCAAGGGCCCGCATGTTCGCCTCTACATCCTGTCGGTATACGGATAGATCGGTTATGTACCAAACCATGGACTCGAATATCCACTCTCTCCAGTTCGCACCCCAGTGAGCTGTGTGGTGTACAACTTCGGCTGGGGTCTTCGCACAAAGCGGCCACAGTTTGTCCGGCAGCTCATCAGAAAACAATGCTGCCCTGGTATGCGTGTAGCTCCTGCGGATGTGATTCATTTGCGCGATCCACTTGCTGACCGCGAAGCCACGCACGAAGGTAGTTATTGCAAGAGGATTCCTGCCCGGACAGGCCTCTGCCACAGAAAAGTGCACGAGTAGATCGTTATGTAAGATATACTTAGTAAAAGAAGCACTTGGATGCCAAAGACATTGATTGGGTGATATGTCCACTTTCTGATGATCTTCGAGTTCTGGATAGCGAATGATACGGCTTGTGGCATGGGGCACATTACCATCAATGAGGGCTAGATGCTCGGGATCCTTGAGACATGGGTCAACAAGAAAAAGAGCTGCATGTTAAATCGCCGTCAGTAAATCAGAATGACCTGAGCGTGTCCATACGTACCATTATATCCACCTTCGGGGGATGTGCGGAACCAATAGGTCACCTGGCCCTCAAGTTCGGAAATATCGCCGCGACTATCCCACTTGTCGCGTTTGGATGACGTACCAAGAACTCTTTCTACGACAAACTGAGCGTATGCGCTGCGATCTTTAAGTCTCTTGTTAGGCTTGAGCCATGGAGGACATTTCAGCGGATCCGGGTGATGCGTTGCAGACAAGTGTGGCATTGCAATGGGATATCGCAGCGTAAAGCTCCTCTTCTTAGCTGCTTCATGGAGCGCTTCGTCATCGCTCTCGTACTCTAGTCCATCTTTCGTCCTTGTCTGCTCAATAGAGGGAAGATCTCCAATGCACTCAGAGATGAGCGAACTATCTCCTGTGCTGTAGTGGCGAGCAAAAATAGTAGGGTGTATGCACAGACGTGATCCAAGTAGACAAACGAGGCGTATAGGAAGATCCTCGAGAAGGACAACGAACCGGAGTGATTTTTTGCTTACACGTTCGTCAATATAAGACTTGAACTCGTCGTATATCGTGAATGTGATTGATCTAAGACCTTTCTCGTTGAACTCCACGATGGATACGCGGCAACGCTCTTCGTGGATGGCTTGCTGAGACACCATAGCTTTGTAAAGACCGCTGTATTCAAGTGCTTTTCCCTGTAGCGGTCTCGAAGCATACTCGCGAAGTAGGGACAAGTAGGCAAAGGATGCATCGTCCATCGAGTTTACAAAGCTGCTGAAGTCGACACGACTCAAGGTAGGCGCCCCTTGGAGTTGCGTAGCAGATTCCAGAGTATTGGGGAACGACGGAGGCGAAGTTGATGCAGTAGGGTATGCTCTCTCTTGCCATACTTGAGGGCCTCCATATTTACTCGGGCTGGAACGGCCCACTGGTGGGTTTGGACGTAGCTGAAGCGTCGTGGCCGTGTGACTGTAGGCAGGCCTACGATTGCTCTGTATTGGAGGAGTCATAGCCCCACGGACGTGGTGCGTCTGGATTGTTGAGATGATATTCTCGAGCCAGGTTCGCTCCCCCAGGGGTCAGGCTCAATAGATCTGAGGCAGCAATCCACTTATAGCTGTGCGACTCTTGCTGTTTTGGAAGTCCAATGATACGTAAGATTTTCAATTTGAACTCTCTTTTCTTCGATTGAGCTACTGTACTTGACGGTAGTTGGAGCAAATATCCAAATTCGTGCTGGACGCCCCCACCTTCGTTTTTGAGGTTCTCTCCGGCTTGCGCGATTTGCGAGTTCTCCAGGAGACAGGGAAGCAAATTTGGAAAAATGTACAACTTATCGTTCTGCGGCTTCTTCACGGATGGACCTCCTCCATTGTAACCCCCACGGCCCATTTCTGGTAATGGTCAAATCTCCGTGGCGAAGGGATTGATTTGAGTCTGAGTTGGAGATTATTGACCCGCGCGTGCATCGCGGGGTACGATCACGGCTTAAAGGATGGGACCATCTGGAGGCCCAGGTCTCGGGATCCAATTTCATTGGTATCGACTGGGGTGTTGTTCACCGGTGATGATCTGGCCGCAGGCTCAGGTGAGCGACTGTTGGGGTCGTTGACCCGACATGTCCTCTTCTGAACCGCAATGACGCTAGTAGCGGGTTGCGAACTATTATTGCGCTCTGCAGTACTGATTGCGAAAATTCAATACACGGTGCAAGATAAGAGAAGATTTCGAAATAGTAGGTCTCGACTCTAGATCTGGAAAGGTCGGACGGCTATTCAAGGCATCGGGTAGACTTGCCGACCAGGTGCGACATCCCACCGGCATCTTCGAGCTTCATCTCACGACCTTCTCGCTGATAAGAGCCTTGCGCGTGCGACATTGCAACCAGCATTGCATTTTCGGCAACCCCGCACTCAGCATTAGGACCCAGCGAGCGCGAACATCAAGATTTCCACCAAGCTCTCGCTACAAATATCCGACTTCGGCGATGGCAACCCCACCAGCGCCCGGAGTATGGTGCCCTGCAGTGACCTTTTACCATCCTCTAACGGGTGCCCTGGATCTCGAGGCTCAAAAGAAATACTTCGCTTACCTCTCTAAATCTGGCCTCACAGGACTCGTAATCCTTGGGTCCAACGCAGAGGCTTTCCTACTTACCCGAGATGAGCGCATTGCCCTCATGAAAGCCGCGCGCGAAGCTGTTGGGCCAAACTACCCTCTGATGATCGGAGTGAGCGGCTTCAGTGTCGCGCAGGTACTCGAGAACATCGGAGACGCGATAGCAGCCGGTGCGAACTACGGTTTGCTACTGCCAGCGAGCTACTACGGCCCCGCGACGTCAAAAGAGGTGGTTATGGGGTTCTACAACGAAGTCGCGCAGAAGTCCGATCTGCCGCTAGTCATCTACAACTTCCCAGGGATATGCAACGGCGTCGATCTCGATTCCAACACCATTGCTGCCTTGGCTCAACAAAATCCCGGCAAAATTGTCGGCGTGAAGCTCACCTGTGGGAGCGTCGCGAAGATCACCAGACTTGCTGCAGAACTGTCGAGTGACTCCTTCTCTACATACGCTGGACAAGCAGACTTTCTCGTTGGCGGTCTTGCTGTCGGGAGCGCGGGATGCGTGTCCGCTTTCTCGAATATCTTCCCCAAGACTATTTCTAAAATATACGCCCTGTATATCAGCGGAAAGACACAGGAAGCACTGAAATTGCATCAGACCGCTGCGCTGGCGGAGACCCCGATCAAAAGCGGCATTGCTAGCACCAAATATGCAGTGTCACAATACAGCGCAGTCGCTGCAGGCATTCAGGATGCCGAGGCAAAGCTTGGACCCAGACGGCCGTACCTGCCAGTCGGCGATACAGTCAAAGTGAATGTGAAGGACAGAATGGATGCTCTCGCTGCGATTGAGAAATCGCTGTGAGGTGCAGATGCATCGAGAAGATGCACATGATGGCTCACATCTGTGTCGGTGCTCGGTAATTCTGCGACCATGGGTCAGCTATCGCTGTATAGAATCGCCAGTTGCGGATGCACTAACGATAAAGTCCCGCAAGGCTCGGACAAATCTAGCAGCTACATATTTCACGATAGACTACCAGAAGAGCTCTCATCCGAATGATCAGCACATTTGGCTGCCGAAACCAACTTTCGTGACGACTGACCTCAGAGACTTCAAAAGTGCGCCGTGATCTCGAATCTCCATGATCTGCCGCTGCGCATAGCACCACCCATCACAACCACCGAGACTGAAAAAATGATGGGCCTATTACTTTTGCCTGGCGAGGTACGCAACCTCATCTACAAGTTCGTCCTTACCTCGAACAGCGGTCAGCTATTCTGTAAAGAAAAGCGATCACTGCAACCAACACCAAATCGCCACAGTAGTACACACGAGACCGAACCCCTAGCATCATCAGACAAGAGGATCGCGCTTTATTACGAGCATCTTCGCCCCGGTAGTCTCAAGCTCTACGAAGATGAATATGGGATAGTAGAAGCTAACCAGCTTCAATATGTATGCCGCTCTCTGCGCAACGAAACCAAAGGCTTAGGCCTGAAGTATAACAACATCATCTTCGTCCGACGCGAGGAGTGGGAGGCGGCTGCCTGCTACCAATTTGCTCGCTTCTTGCATCACTGCGGGCCGTATTGGCGTTCTCGAATGAGGCTCGTCACACTGAGATCGGCGTCTCCAGACATTCCTCCCGTACCAGAAGACCACGAAATAGAGGATTCGCGGACAGAAAGCGAAAGAGCAGCTGAGAAAGCTGCAGATGACGCGTCGCTCGTCGAATACTTGCGATCCCCGCTAACCAGCTTCAACCAAATCGCAAAGTTCTGCACCGACTATCTGGAAACAAAAGTCGAGAACCATTTGGACTTCGTGAATGGAGAAACATGGTCGAGCCTGTGGCAAAACGGTCTTCTAGCATTAGCGCATTGTCGACATGGCATCTCGCCTCGTCTGTATGGGACGAATACCGACTTGTACTACGATGTCATAGAACCGGGGCTCAGGGTTGCTAAAGAAGCAAATCTGCTATTAAGTGGGTGCGACAATTACGAAATTCACCCTCCACGATGAGCCATTCGACGAAGACGCATTTCGCAGAGGGATCGAGCAGGAATGGGACTTGTACAGGAAGACCTGAGATTGGTTGATGGAGGCGTTGAAACATGGGTCCACGAGGTTAAGAGTTGGTATCGTGATGGTTTATAAAAGCACCGAGTCTCAATATCAAGGAACTGGCGATGGTGTGAGGAATGGGATGTTCCCTGACGCATTGCCAGACTTTTCGAAAAGCAGATCGCAGCTTTCGAGGTCACTCCAATGGGTTCACCCGTGTTTTCCCCCGCAAGCGGACATGAGAATTAATACACAAAATGGTGGGAGGTGGATCAAAGACATATTTCAGAAGTGTCGATTTTAGTTTTTAGGTCAGTGGAACCTTTATGGGATTTCCCTTCTTTTCATGCTACCTAAACACGAAAGCTACACAGTCCATAGTAATTATATAAGAATATATGTGACTACCAGTCTAATGTATACAAGGATAGGATGTTTACTTTTGCTGAGACGGCCCAGCATTTTTCTCCTGTGACTATAGACGATCTGATGATTCTATCTCAGCCTCTTCTATACTCGTATCGACATTGTTCGCCTTATCGCCCTTGACGTTTTTCCATTCTATCCCAAAGCTTGCTAATAGGACCAGACCAGAAAGACCGAGTGCAAGATACCAGACGCCTCGCAACGCGTTGTTGTACGCGCCGAGAACTGCCGGTAGCATTTCAGGTGCTGTTGCACCTCTGAGAAAGGCAGCACCGCTGTTTGCGATTTTTCTGAGATCAACGCCCGGTAAGAGTGGCCCCAGTTCCGCGACCAGTCGGTTCTGCAGCAGTGCTTGCGCCACAGTCACGAAGATGGTCGATCCGAGGAAATTGGCAAGGCTGATGATTGACAGGCCGACGGAAACTTCTTGCTTCGAGAGCACGGTTTGTGCTGCGATATTAGGGCCCTGCAAGGTTAAACCAAGCCCAATGCCTGTTATGATCTGTGGAAAGTTAGAAGACTGCAGCGCGATAATATTGGGGATGTAGATACCTGGAAACCGATCCACTGGCCCTGGTCGACTGTGGCAGACCAAGTCGTTATCAAGCCAGCGCCCAACATTGAAAAGCAGGCTCCAAGGATCAATGCCGGCACATAATATCCAACCACGCTTGCGAAGATACCACTGGAAATTACGGCAATAACCACGCTGAGTAACAGTGGAATCAAAGATAAGCCAGAGCTCTCTGGTGACTTGTCCTGAATGACTTGGAACCAGATTGGCAAGTAAAATGCGAACAGCACCAAGACGGAGCCAATTCCAATGCTGGCAATTGCACCGAACAAAACGCTGCGCTGGCTCATAATACTCGGAGGTAACGTTCCTTTCTCGCCACGCCATATCGAGAAGCCCACGAAGACTGCCCCGAAAACACCTGAAATGACGAACAAGGAAATCACGACTCCACTACTCCAACTGTACTCTTTGCCACCGAATTGGATTGCCAACAACAGGCAAATAATTGAAGTTCCAATGAGAAGGAAGCCAAAGGGATCGAGCTCGAAGAACTTTCCTTTCCAGGTGGAGGATCGTTTGACTGGTGGCGTGGTCTTTGGAGTAAGCCAAGTGATCAGAACCATCGAGACACCACCGACAGGAAGGTTGAGGTAGAAGCACCAGCGCCACGATGCCGCGGTAAGATACCCGCCCAGAATTGGTCCTAGAATTGAGGTGATGCCGAAGACTGAACCAAGACTGCCGATGTATTTTGGACGGTCTTTCACAGGTACGAGGAACGTAATCAACAAGAACGCCCCAGGCGTCACACCTGCGCCGCCGATACCAGTGATAACTCTGCCTACAATCAAAGCGTTGGAGTTTGGGGCAGTAGCACACACAATTGAGCCCATCTCAAAGATGAAGATATTGATGATCATGGCCCATTTGGTGGAGTAGTATTGGTAAATTCGACCAAATGACAGCTGAAGAACGCAGAACGGTAGCAAAAAGCCGGCCTCGTACCAAGCAATGTCGCCGAAGCTATTGAATTGCTGCGTGATGGTTGGAACGGCTGTGCCAATTATGGTGCGATCCTGCAATTAGTGTTAGCTAAGCCCGAAAGTTGCTCAGTGCTTTCTACATACAAGTGCCACTACGAAGAAAGCGAGCCATATTGCTAACATAGCGGGTATGACAACCTTGGTGGAAGGGTAATCTGTTTCATCATCCTGAAGTCGCCTACTTGTTTGAGGCCCTTGAAGTTGTTGGTCCGATTGATTTTCCTCCTCGGTTTTGGACATGACGTTTGCTCGTAAAGATCGGCTGCTGGGAGCTGGTATGCCATTCTGTCAAGGTAAAGCACAATCTTATAGTAGATCTAGCTTGAGGAGACATGTTTCTACGCTGACACACGGACCCCGTCGCGTCGCGATGAAAGTTGACTTGGTCCTTGACTGAGATCGATTGAATGAGACGGCCCCACTCCGAGGTGTTAAAGCGTGCCATTGGGTGTAAGCGTCATCATCAGGCCAGGGCCCGAGGCCGAAAACCTTCGCGCACCCCCCGATACTTTCCGCACCACTTCTTCGCAAAGCGATTGATGATGACCCACAGTCAAGCCTGTCGGCCATGCGCGAAGCGAAAAGTACGCTGCAACCGTTTGGAACCATGCTCAAACTGCAAGCGGCGCAAGACTGATCGATGCACCTATCCTGCAAGCACGCCCACCGATCGCATTCGACAGCTTGAAAGCCTCGTTCGAGAACTTGGTGGCAATCCGAGCAAAGGCCAGCCTACTTCGCCCGCTGAGAATGCTCCTCGCGTAGAAACCCAACTTGCAGGCGTTGATGCGCCCATTGAGCTGCGGAGCAATGATCCCGTGATCTTAGAGGAAGATGGCGAAATCCAATATCTTGAGTCGTGAGTCTTTCTGCCCCCAGCATCAGGTGTCGTGGTTGTATGCCCGTCTTACATATTGAGGTGTGTCGAACTCCCGGAAAATCTTGTCCTTGCGGACAATGGGCATTTGCCTTTGCGACAGATGACTTAGTCTTTGGATATTATTGACATTCTCAGTCGCGCCTGGCAGGGCTGGAGAGGAAAGATTGATGGCAATCGCGAGTCTCGCAGTCAAAGAACCTCATTCAAGTCACGTTCAAGACCTCATGCAATGACGGGCCTCGTCTTCAATCGCATGACAGCCATCACACCGACGGAACCGCTGCCAATACAGCGCACAATCATCCTATGGCAGGTATTTACCCAGCGCATTGAACCTCTTGTCCGGATCATGTATAGATGGGTGGTGGAAGACTTGCGTACTCGGTCGACCAGCATGGAACTTCAAACATCCCTCACTCCAGCCGAACGCGCACTCATAATGGCCGTATGCTACACGAGTGTGAACAGTCTCACCAACGATGAGTGCAGAAGTATGCTACAATTGGAGCGGGCAACCCTGCTCACGGAGTGTCGATTTCAGTGCGAAGATGCCTTGGTGCATACAAATATGTTTTGCATGACTGATCTCAATGTCATTCGAGCAGTAGTATTCTACATCGTATGTCAATCTGCTGTGCCGTTAGTATATCGCTAGCACATGGAATATCACGTCAGTAGACATAGTGAGCTGATTGCATCGCAGATGGGCAGTTTTGATCGTGTCAGTACCCACAGTCTCTGGTCATTGTTGGGTATGACGATCCGTAATGCCGAGAAACTAGGACTTCACCGTGATGGGGCTGTCCTTGGTCTATCCCCGATGGCGACAGAGGAGCGCCGGCGCCTTTGGTGGCAATTACAACATCTCGATCTCGGGGCTGCGGTTCGAATGGGTCTCACACCGATGACGCTGACCGCTGGCTGGGACGTCAAAATGCCGTTGAACATCGAGGACGAAGACCTCTACGCCAGCAGCACGACCGCGCCGCCGGAGAAGAGGGGACTGACAAGCCTGTCTTACAACCTCTTCACCTATTGGGTCCTTGATCAGCAGCGACAGAATTTCCTCTCCAAGCACGGTCGCTTCGAGCTTTCTTGGCTAACAAATTCTGCCATGTCGTCAACAACTAAGGATGACATGTTATCGCTACTCGAGGATGGCGTCAATCGTCACTTCGTACAGTTTTGTGATCCCATCAATCCTTTGCATGTTCTCCTCCAGCTTCTGACACGAAGCTTCATCACGAACATGCAGTTGCGCGTGATGCACGGCCGTGCGTGTACTCAGGGCGACAGCGAGCATCGCACAATACTCCTTAATGCATCAATGCAGTCTCTGCGATACCACATTGCGCTCATGAGCCAAACTTCTCTCTCATGCTACCAGTGGTTGACAAGAGTGTGGTTCTCTTGGCAGGCCTGTAAGTGAACACAGGAGACTGACAGACACTTGCTAACCAATGTAGTCATGGTTGTGCTTGTTGAAGCATCAGATACTAGTAACGTGGTCAAAGCACAAGAACTATGGGACCTGCTTGCTAGTGTTTACGCCAGTAATGCGGACATGTTTGACCTCGCAGATGATCGAAGAAGATTACAGGCAGCAGAACACGTCGTCGCCGCATGGAAGGCATATCCAGGACGTTTTGACGGTCAGCTCTTGAGGCAGCCACCCTTCATCTTAGAGGTTGCGCAGCGACTCACTACCCACCGAGCTGGTCTAGACCCTGGATCTATGCAGCCCGACTATACGCCACAAGAGTACAAAGAGGAGGTGCTCGAAACCCCGGCTGAGATGCCTGAAGGCACTTTCTTTGACGCGGAATTCGACTTCGAATTCGACATGGAACTACAAGACATAGACTGGAGCTTCTGGAGCAGCATAGACTGAAAGTTCTCTAGATGTTGCAACTCACTGTGGGAACGAGGCTTTTGTGGTAATTCGGCTATCGTACACCCTGGTCAGCCCTGTACATCAAAGACTCGCTAGTACAGCGCACAATTTACCCGGTCACCGTGCTGACCCCAATTGTCATGTGCTCTCAGACTGATTTTAAGCCTGTTGTCCTAGCTATCAGATGATTCTGTTTGTTCGTTGCATGCGCGTCGATCAGTACGGACACTACCAGATGTTTCCAAGTTCCTTCACGCCTACTATCCTTTACAGCTACTGACACCTTCTTTTCCAGCCCATCATGAAGACGCTTCGACGTCAGATCGTGGTGGTAGCAATTACGAGCACTTTGCTAGCCATCGCAAACGCATCGTCTTTGAGCAGGAAAGCCTCCATAGATGCTCATTCAATCTTTGAACAAGCTGCAGTTGGTACAAGACACTTTATTCTCGGGCCTTTCCATCTATGCTGACGACTAGATACTTTAGACTCTATTGACCTTCAATCCATCCCTAATTTGAATGTCGAAGCAATCCTTCAAGAGATCTATTTTACAAGAGCAGAGACCGCAGCAGCTATACCTGCACGGCGCATTGTCTCCAATGTTACGGAAATCATTGATGTCCATGGTAAAATTATGCTTCTGTTTTTGTTGGCTCAACGCCGGACTAATCGTCTATGCAGCACACTGCGTGCCAGAATGGTACCGCGCGATCGTTCCTAAGACTGGAGGTAATCCAACACCATCGTGGAACCTTACCGGCCATTTGGACTTTATGGCTAGTCAGGGTATATCTCGCGCCGTTCTCGCCTTCTCTTCGCCAGGTGCAAACGTGTACCCGGGTAACAAAACGGCGACAGTCGGGCTCGCTCGACTGATCAACGAGCAGTCTGCCGCGTACGCGCAAACCCATCCAGAAAGCTTCACCTTCTACGCCGTCGTCCCGCTACCATATACCGACGAAGCCATTGTCGAAGCAAACTATGCCCTGGACATCCTTGGCGCTGCCGGCATCGCGCTATACTCCAATTTTGAAGGGCATTATCTCGGCGACCCAACCTTCACGCCATTCTTCGCTGCCATCAATGCCCGCGGGGGAGGCCAAATCGTATACATTCACCCTACAACGCCGTATGTGCGGGTGAATGGCTCGCTCGTAGAAGCGAATCCAACAATTTATCCGACTGGCAACATAGAATTCTTCTTCGAAACAGCGCGCGTGCTAGAAGACCTCGCCGTCACCCAGACCATACTTAACTTCACCAATATCAACTATATCATCCCACACGTTGGTGGCGCATGGCCATCGGTTGCAGATCGGTTGTTGAAGTCGTTTCCGGGGATATATGATCGCACGTTGGCGGCGCTTCAGACACGATTTTATTGGGACTCCGCAGGGCCGACGTATTTCCATCAAGTTGCTGGGCTGATTGCGTATGGCATTCCGGCGACACAGTTGATGTTTGGCACAGACTATCCGTATGCGCCACTCTTTGCGTATGTGACTAGTCTGGTGGGTGTTGCGACGAGCCCATTTGTTGGAGATGAGGACAGACCGGGGATTTGGAGGGCAAATGCGCAGAGACTGTTTGGGGCGCGTATCCCGGAACGATAGGATCAATCAGGGGGAATTTTCTTTTCCCTACAGTTTTGTGATCGAACGACCAATGCAGTGATTGAGTACTTCTTATGTTGCGTTGCGAGGCACAGCGAAGAACCTTTTGTGTGTATGACACTCGAATTGCACATCAATGTAAGTGGCCACTATCGCGAGGACTCTACGACTCTACTCTCCAAGGCAACTGCGTTTGAAATATCGAGCTTAAGTATAAAAAGTGTCCTTTTCTTCCAGCTTCTTAGCTTCCTCCACTCTGATCAAGTCGACTGCTCCCTCTCTTGCATTAACCCTCCTTTCCTCGGCAACCCTCTTGATGTTCAACCACTGCATGCCCGCAGCAAAAGGAAGTGCAAGACATGTGCTCACTAATGCAAGTACAAAACTGCCCCTTAGAGCTTCAGCGTAAGCTTCCCTAAGACTTTTCAATACGGCTCCGTCAGGCGCAATCGAGTTGATCCCACCAGCGCCTGCATCGATGACCTGCTGCACGCCGACTTCCGTAGTGTGCACAGGAATACTAATCTTGAGGGTATTGAGAAGCAGATTTTGACCGATGGAGACGGCTATGGCACCACCTAGTTGCCAGGAAAAGATTGCAATGGCTTTGTCAAAATCAGCAATCTGTCCGAAGTAAATTCTGGTCGGCATGCATCACTTACCGTTGCCAGTCGCGATATCTTCCGGTCTGATTCTAAGGATTAGCCTAATTATACTGATTGGAGTTGCCGGTACCTAGACTCACTCGAGAACAGCTTGAAGGGCCGTATACGGAAGCTGCTGTGCCATACCCATGCCAAGACGATTGACAACGATTAGGCCAGCCCATGTAGCCGTAGGCGTATAAGCATCCAGGAGGGTCAAAAAGCCAGCTGCAATGCTTGCAATCGTGATGCCAACAACCATGTACGGAACCTTTTATCATTAGCTATGCTCTCGAGATCGGAGACTTGTACGAGCTGCACGACAACTTACATAGTGACCGTACCTCGAAACAAGGCCTCCCGTAGCGCCGATCGATACGATGGTCGGCGCGACATAAGCAATCATGTTGATTCCACTGCCTGTAGCAGACGCGCCCTGCGTAGCTTGAAAGTAAAGCGGAAGGTAGAATGCTAGCTTCGAACCTTTAAGTACCCATACCTTTCCTCAATTCGGATTTCAATATCTTACCGATATACTAGCAACTCCTAGAGTGAATAACACCAATGCCCCCATATAAATGGATCGAATGCGAATCACACGAAAGGGTATAGTTGCGTACTCTCCTAGACGCCATTGGAGAGTGGTAAATGCGATGGTGCCGATACCGAAGCAGAAAAATAGACCGATAGATGTCGCGCTATCCCAGGAAATTTTCTGGTTTCCCCATTGAAGCGCTAGGAGAAGCGATACAATGGAGCCGAGGAAAAGGATCGTGCCAATGGGGTCCAGATGCTTCAACTTCTCCGCGATTGGAAGAGAGCGATTCCTCTTGTTCGTCTCCGACGACAGAACAACAAAACATCCGATTGGTACGAGGATCGCAGCTCCGAGAGGCACATTGCTATTCTTCTCAGCCAACATACTTCTACTTAACGCCAAGATGAACGTACATCCAAAAACACCATCCTGGAATGGCATGAGCACGTTTAATAACACGTTTACATATGGATTACTCACTCCAACCGGTGCTGTCAGTGAGCCCGCCTCCTATGACAGGTCCAGCAGTTGCACTGACTGCTGCCGCGCCAGCCACGAAGCCTTGGTACATGGGGACCTTCTCCAGCCTCACAATATATGAGACAATGCCCAGGGCCCCTTGAAGTAAGCCTGACGCTCCGAAGCCTAAGAAGGCACGCCCGAAGATCAAAATAGCCGATGACCTAGCCGTTGCACATATGATTGATCCAACTACCAACCAGCGATCAGTTTTCATCCATTGCGTGAAGCTCATATACTCACTTTCGAAGATTACAATACTCCCAACAAACACAGCTTTCACCGAGAAGTATTTGTACACATTCCCAAAGCACGGCTGAAACGCTGTGATGGTTAACAGATAAGATGCGCTGTACCAGGAGACATCTTCAAGAGAATGAAACTCCGTTGTTATGACTGGGGCGGCAACGCCGATAATGTTCATGTCAAGTCCGTAGAGAACAGCTCCAAGGCAAAGAGAGAGCGTGACCACAAACAAGCGCCATGATTGGAGGAAAGATAGATCAGAGTCCATATTTTGGCCAACCGTGGATGATTCCTGTTGATCTTTATTATCACGAGCCATATCCTGTGTTTTACCTCAGACGGAGTGATTGGGCATAGTAAGGGAGATGGTGTTTGAAGAACTTAATACGATGCAAGGTCCGATCTCTGCTGCTATAAGCCGGCGTGGAGATTGCATATTGCGGCGTAGGCTGCGGGTAAGATTGCGGTGGCAGGACCCAGATTCAACCCTTGTCCCTGTACCTGCACGTTACGCCCTGCCAGAGGTGGAGACCTTGTGGCAAAGACGGCATGTGCCGCCAGCGGTGTATCACTCACTACTTTCAACCATCGTTGTTTAGGCAGTCTGGCTGTCTAGACACACAATTATGCTAGCTTGACGTCGTGACAGCAGTCTTCGGCGCTCTCAGCTGTTGAGTTTTTAAAGTTGTGGATTACAAGTTCCGCGGAACCCTTGCACACGCAGCATCCTTTCCCCCGCTTGGAGGGACGTGCTCACGCAGGTAAGTACGGCCAAGTGCAGATCATGGAAAACGAAGTTTAGGATAATCTAGAGCTTGGGTTTGATATTCTCGGCCTGTTCTTAACTTTCCACGCGTCTCTCGCCAACGCCGGAAAGAAATGTGACACGGTCAGACTGAATTTCGAGGTATAAGCCGTACCTTTAGATCCTCGCCTTGTCCTAGTGTAACAATGCCTGGTGATGGTCTTCCTCCATCTGCTCTTGGAAAAGTCGTTGACTCCACGGCAACGTCATACTTTGTCAACAAAATGGCAACAAATGCATTGGCGGATCGCCTGGCAAAAAGACGTCCTGGACACAGAGTGTGTCCACCTCCCCAAGGACGGTAGGAAGGACTCTTCGACATCTTGGGGTTGTCTATGAATCGATTTGCGTCGAGGGCATCTGACTTTGTACCCCAGACTTCAGCGTCATAGTGCAACTCGCGGATTGATAGCTATAGCCGCATCAGCGTACTATCTTTCAGCACCAAGAGGTCCTTGAAACGGACCATGATCTTAGTTCCTGGTTTCAACAATTTCCCGCCAACCGCCGTAGGCTCTAGTATGACACGAGCTAGCGCGCTCGTTACTGTAAGTCGCAATGTTTCACTGATAACCGAACTCAGCTTTGGACATCTCTCAAGCAGATATGCCTCATCAATTCTCTCCCCATGTACGGCCGGAGAAACCTCTTCGCGTATCTGGTCAAGCACGCCAGGGTTTTGTCCCAGATGCGACATGAGCCAAAAGGTCAACTTGTACAAGTTTCCTACTACGCTGACGTCGACTTAGCTTGGTAATCGCGGAGAGCCCAAGGTGTACTTACGCCCAGTAATGCAAGAGAGTGAACTTCCCCATCTCGTCTGTCGTCAAGCCAACCTCCGCGAGCATGTCCTCCAACGAGTCGACGAAGTAAATGGAGCCTGGGCGGCGGGTCCGCGGCTGTCGATAGTAGTTCGCAAATGCCTCTATTATCGTTCTCTTTGTTTTTGTCATATCTCGCGCAAGAATATCTGGGAGCATAAAGAGAAATTTCCAGCCGCAGTATTCCCAATTCAGGAATGCGCTAATGAGATTTGGTGACTTCTGTAAGAGTGCAGGACCAAAGTAAGCCTGTGTTACCTCTGTGACGAAGATGTCGACACAAAGGTCGTGCAACGATATGATGACGGAGTCCTCTGAGCGACTGAGGATGGCTGTATTCATTGCATCTGCCATGTCTAGCTTCTTGAAACAACTCGGAATCACTTTGTCTTGTAGGAGAGAGTCTAGCTTTAGACCAGCGTGAAGCTGTTGATGATGTAATTCGATTGCCATTTGTGTGGGCGTTAGAGGGCGGCCGGTTCCTTCATTGTAGCGCGCTGTTGGGTGTTGATGGAACATAACTTCGCGACTTTTTCCCGAGATGCCCCCTAGAATATACATGTCCATCGTAATTGGGTCTATGGAGATAGTCTTCGAGTTCTTCCAAACGCCACTAATGTCATCTGGAGACGTTAAAACGTATATTGTTTGTCCGGCTACTGTCATAGCAAACGGATCGCGCGAGGGAGAGAAATGCTTTCTTTGGTACATATCAGCAATCATTTTCTGCAGGAAATGTACGAGAGTTATGCGCCGTTTACCTTCCCTTCTCAATGGCGCCATTGAAGTCGACGAAGAAGCTGAAAACATGACCTGCTCAGTGTGAACAGACGCAGTTGCGGTAGGTACATGAGATTCACTTACCAATAACTGCCATAGCATTAGTAGGTTGCGAGCATGCTCCAAATTTCATACGCATACGTACATGGAATCCAGTATGGAAGCTCTTTCGGCTCATCTGGGTGCAACCGTGGCCTGATGGTGAACCTCCATAGCCTCCATGAAAGTAGTAGACTTAATGCAATGAAGCTTATCCTGACAGCAGTTGCACTTGTTGTAGTATCCATATCATGAGCAAAAGACGGAAACTCGAGCAATGGTACGAGATGAATTGAACAGTCCTTTCGTTGTAAAATCTGCGTTTATTTGAAGTTTTGTTTGCAACGTTACCAACAACCGAGGGCGTCAAACTAGAGCAGCCCCGCCGCACTGCAAGTAAGACAAAGGATCTGCGAGGGATATGTTGTACCTAGCAAGCCACTTTGCCCCAACTATGTATGGTCCAACCAAATTGAATTCTATCATCATGAAGCGTCTAAGCGAGTGCAGCAGACTGCGCCGCAATCACCGTTCATCACAACATGTATCTGCAGTCAGCTCAGATCGGCGCCGAAATCGCGCCCCATTTCCTAGCAAAGGTCTATAAACTGCAATTTCAATTGTTTCGGCGTTATTGTAGCTTTGCCGTTGTATATACTTCAGTATTGCAGTTCTGTAAACAACATGTAGCCATGTGCGTAACATAGATAGTTATCACCGTAGCGCCTTGAGGACACGGGTGGATACCATAGGTACCCGGACTTATCAACTCCACCGGGATACATCGGGATCCTTAAACTATAGTCTGACATTTATTTGCTATTCCTGCCCATGATGACTAATTTGCACTTGCATCTCAGCATGGCAAAGAACAGTGGTGTTGCCGTGCTGTTTTGGGAAGTGTCGTGTGAGGCATCGCAGTTCGATACCTGAGTTTGCAGTCAATGCAAATGTTACGTTGCATCTTTTCTCCTCGTGTACTTCCACCATCGATTTTACAAGAAACGAAACGAGCTCTCTTACTCCGCATTCTGTGTCCAGATACCTAACAAAGACGAACATCCTGCGGATGTGTGTTGATATATCGAGCCACATACCATCCCTTGCTCTGCTGCACAAATGCGGACCAGGAGAGAATATGAGCTCCATGGTATTGTTACTTTGTTTGTGCGTCTGAAACCACTCTTACAGACGTCACGGGTCACTCTGGCTCAAAGCAATCAATTCTGGGAAGTTCTGAGAATAGTCCGTAAACGTTCATCCAGCATTGTTCACCACTCGAATTCTAAGTGCAGGAGAAGAATTTTGATGCAAGGAAACCGACACCTGCTGTACCTTACTAACGTGCGTATTTCCTACTTCAACTTTAAGGCTACCATTATAAGTTGTGTAGTATCAGTCCGGACAAGTAGAGAAATATATTTTTTCGCACCCTTAGACTCTTAAACGTATTCACGCTTAGGCGCAGCCCTGGTCTGGCCCGCAGAGGCATTCCCTGCGACCAAGTGAACAAGGGTTCGAGCACTTTAGCCTATTCTTGTCAATTACTTGTAGGTTCAAGTGATACACTATGTTTTGCGTTGACGTCGCATCGCGGCGCAATTATGGCTTCCAGGCATAAATCTTGATACACTGGGAGACGAAGGAAGTAGTACTCCATATGCGTTATCTGTGTTACCTTCCTCGTGGAAGATGATGTAAGAATTGGCTCATGTGTTTCAACTTGCTGCATAGGAGGGACTGCGGCACCATCATTTAGTGCGGCAGTAATAGATTTCATGAGAGCAATTCATAGAAACGAGCATGTCCCAAATCTCGGTTGCGAGGCACACGCTTGCGTAGTTTGAGTAGTGGGGCCGAGGAGAATCCGAGGCGCAGATGTCTTCAAAATCGCCCCGCATTAGACGGGCGTACTAGTCTAGGGTATAGATCAAGAATTGAGGCGGCAGACAGAACTGGATATCCTACAGACGTTCGAACGGTTTCGCTGGAAGCCCAGGATAGAGCGCCGTGTATGCTGCTTTGGCTTAGCGTGGTTCCCGTTCGACCGGGACATTACGCCTTCTTGAGCTAATGCAAGAGTACGCCTTGGAGTGGGGCACACCAACGGCCCCCGAATGTGTAGTTCTCTTAGCCATGTGTGTATGTGGCATAGTGACCGGAGCTTAGCACTTTTTGGCAGGAGTTTTGTGGACATGAGCGAATGCAATGTGCGGCGCCGACAACTATTACCAGTGCAATGACTCTCCAAATATTCCTATTCATAATGTTCCCGTACTGTCTATTCGATCGAGACTTCGTGCCAAATCTTTTCGATATTCAACATTGTGCACGCTTTCAGCACTCAACATCAACCGTTGCACTTCTCGACCTCATACAGATCTTGCGCCATGGAGTCTGATATCATGGCCTTCGCCATGTTCTTGGTTGCTATGTTCCTTCTCGTGATGAACAGTATGGGCGTCGATAGCTATGTATATCTTCATGTAAAGCTGCTACTGCGAGGAACATCGCTTACACAGTCTCAGATCGTCAAGAAAATCAGCTTTTCCAAGACCACCAATCTATTTTCTAGCTTCAGAACTACGATTCATGATTTCGTAAGGTGGTAACCATGCTAGCTGCAGTTTTCATGCTAACAAAGCCCTCCTGTAGCGATCAGGACGATTCTACAAACCGTGGAGCACAGCCCAACCAATCATCATCTCAACAAAAACGCAAATTGCAGAGCTTAGCGAAGCTTCCGCTGTACTGTCACAGAGAGCTGTGTATGCTGATGTACGTCTTTGCTATCGACAGCATACAATTTGGCACACTTATATTGGTGTATAACTGACCAAGAGAAGATGTTTGGCTTCAAACACACCTTAAACGGCTTCAACCACAACGAAGTCGCTGGAGTGAAGTCGCGCCTCATGGGAAGACTTATTCAGGTCCAAGGCGTTAGCAACCTTCCAAAGATCTTTCCATACTTGAACAAACGTCTGCAGCAAAGCCTTGATGAACAAATCGCGCTAGCCAAGAGACGACCAGATGGTGTGACCCTCCCTGTAGCCTCTACCGTCCGTACTGTAACTTCTCGCGTCATGGCGGTTTTGTTCTTTGGCGAGCAGACCTCTCGAGATCCGGTCTTTGCTGATGCACTGATTCGCCACCCTAAAGAGATGGTAAAGTGTATGGCAGCCTTCCAAATTATGCCTGGTTTTCTAGCCCCGTATGTTTCACCAACTTCCGGATATGAGTAAGTGAAGAGATGACCATGTTGACCACAAGTCAGGTTTGTACATAATTTCATCACCAAGCGGGGGCAAGCACAGGAAGTAATCATCAAAAAGCTGACAGATATAATGGGCTCTGGCCGAGACATGTGGGACGAGCCATCGCCACTCAAAGAGGTAGAGCCTCACATCTGTCTGCACAATTATTCAACGCCAACTAATGACACCGCAGCTCACGTTCGCATGGAACCATGCATCTCTGTGCTTAGATAGCGAATACTGGAATGGTCCCGAACACCAAGCTCAAAGCCTGCTGGGCATGTGGTTCGCGGCTGCGCACCAACCATGGATGAACATCGACTTCATTATGCTTCATCTTTGCCGGCGTCCAGATATCCAAGAAGCGCTAATAGAGGAGATTGGCAGCCTAGAAGACCTCACGTACGACAGATTGATGGAGCTTCCATTGCTGGATAGTTTCATCAAGGAGACCGTGCGCTTGCATCCTTTGGACACACTGGCTGTCCGCAGAAAAGCCCTCAAGCAATATACATTCGCCTCTGGTTCCCCACAAGTTGCCGCTGGTGCAACGGTCGCTGTGTCTTCGTACGACATGATGCACAACAGTACCGATTACCCATCCCCCAACGACTTTCAACTGCGAAGATTCATGGAGACGGGATCTTCGGTGAAAGGGACGCGCTTCACGGAAGTCTCGGAGAAGTTTCCTATCTGGGGTTATGGATCGCTTGCTTGGTAAGTCCCGTGCCTTCGCGCGTGAGAAGCATCGTCTTTGAAGCAGGCTAATACGACTGTAGCCCTGGGCGGTTCCATGCTAGTCTTGTGATGAAACTTGTCATTGCGCATATCGTTATGCGGTACAACATGAAGCTTGAGGATGACAAGGCGAGGACGCTGTGGAAGTGGGAGACATTTACGATGCCTTATGAGTCCACTAGATTTGTTCTTGAGGAGCGCTCATCTCAAGATAGTAGGAAGGACTTGGACTTGCTCTAAGAAGAGCGTTCGGGGTCAGAATTGCGATCACTATACACTCAGATGCCTAACCTGTGTTCTTGACTAAACTTCGCTAATTTAACAGGGGCATGATGTTTCCTCTTTCAAGGACAGCAGTGCTATGCATGAGGAAACAAATACGACTTAATTCAGCGTGATGACTATAACATGAAACGTTGTGGTAGCTTCTCGTCATTGTATTATACATAGCCGTATCATCCCGCTCCAAAATGTGGCATGTACCTACTCCAACGTGGTTCTTGAAAGACGCCATCCGGGAGATGCGCAATATTAACGAAGCACTCGACGATCAAGTATATCCCTGCGGCTACGTACAGCAAAGTCGTACTTCCCTGGGCTAGGAGCACTGAGGCAATGAAAAGCTTTCGAACGCCGGTGCTCAAATAGGGAATGAATGAAAAGGATGTGCAATTTAAGCAAAAGACCGTCTTGAACGTGTTCAAAACATACCGCGCTTCTCTTCTAACCATTGTTGTCGGTTTCCAAAGCAACAGAATCAAAATCACGATGACGAGTGGACTACTTATGACGAGACAAGATGCTCGCCAAAGCATTCTTTCTGTTTTAGTAGAGAAAGGTCCATTCCAGGCAAGCAAGTGGATGCCACCATACAGAGTGCCAGCAAGCAGGGATCCCGCCCAGGGCACGGCAGTCGGTGATAGATTTATCGACAGGCCCCATCGTTCTAAAGCATAACCGTGTGTTTGTAGACGTGCAATGGACATTCCTTGGGTCAACATTTTCTCTGGATTCTTTTCGTCGAGCCAGTAGCTTCCAAAGTCCCATCTATGCGTAATACAGTCTTCTAGTCGTAGATCGCGAGCAAGCTTGAGTTGTTCTAGTTGATTCGCCGTCATGATCGCATAGGTATTTGTGTCTATTAATTCGCTGCAGTCGTAAATCGTGAAGCCGTGTACACTCTGGCCAGGACATAATTTCTAGCTAGGGGGTCCGTCCGATCGAATCTGGTTTCGTGTCCACTCTGTGCAATCGTTGATGGGTAAGATACGTCGAGGTCGTCAGGCTTGTTTGTTTGTTGCTCGGCACCTTCCAATGCAGTCCCGAATTTCAGATCTATCATCGAGATCATGCCACCCGATAACATAGTTTGTGACAGAGATGTCTCTCTCGAAGGCTAGACGAAGATTGTGGTTACCATTAGCCCGAGAATAGCCTTCGACATCGGCCTTGAATGCTTCTAGGAATCCGTCCATGGTGTCCTTCACCTTCATCCAGGCGCAGACTCCGATTGCGTGATTACTGGAACAATAGATGATGTGCGGCATCTCTATATCCAGAGGTTTATCCCACCACGAGAGATATATTAGTAGGCAACAGAACGCATGAAGAACGGTGTTTATCTCTAGAAGGCTGATAGGATGTGCGGTCGCCATTCGTCCAATGGTTTCCGCAACAAACCAAGTTGCTTGGACACAGACGAGAAACTTGGCAAATGCGTTGGCTTTGCTTTTGTCTGGGATAGTTTCTACGGAAATGTCTGGAAGAAGGGGTGATTTAGCCCTCGCTAGTTTGCGGAGTGCGGCCGAAGTGAGAGTCAGCCGCGCACAATCTTGACCTCTAATCAAGGAGCCTGGTTTTTCAGCTTCGAAAACAAATCCCCCCATGATAGCAAAGTGGTTGTGGATTCGAGTCCAAGCATGAGTGCGTGTCAAAGGACTGCTATTTCCGTGTATGACGCTGTTTTGTTGATCAAATCTGGTAATCGAGAGCGGAATATCATGCTCGGATGGTGATGCTTCTGGACTTGCAGCCTCGAGGTCTTGTTGTGCATACGAACTTCTCCAACGTGAACGTGCGAACAACACCTCTAGCCACGTAGCGGTCGACTGCATCACTTTGGAGTTTCGAGTAAGGGCTTCGGTAAGGTCGTGCATCTGGTATCCTAGAGCGCGTGCATACAGCATTTGGTTGAGAGCGGCGAAAGCAACCTAAAATGAAATCAACATGATTACGCTCAATGTAGCGCAGCCTGCCGTGTTTCCAGAATAACGTACAAACTCCGGCGCGCACAAGCCGATGCACACCCACTGAACTTTCTTCCAAGCTCGATGACTCCAGCCAGTCTTCCCGTACTGCGGAATATCTAGATGCAACGAAGTGTAGGCACATAAAAGGAGTGTAAGAACGCACGTAGACAAAATATTGAACGAGCCCCTCACATCAGGGGTGGCTTTCCACACAGCGGTACCGTTGGCTGGCACGTTGCCAAATGGCTCTCACATACTTAGATAGCTGCGTGAACTCTTCTCTGTGATAACAGAAATCCTGGCAAGGTTACGCCTTTATGTAGAACGTGTTTCAGCCCCATGGCCCCATGGTCTTGTCTCAGTAAGCTGGGATTATGCTACGGTTGTCGTTCGTCAACTATAGTTGCACAATGACCAACTAGATTTGGCAAACATACTAGCTAACGGAACGAAGAAATTCCGATTAGAAAGCATGTGGGAATGATGGGGCTTTGAGCGTTTGTCTCGACTCGTACAGCAACATGAAAGCCGCCTCACCATGATGAGGAAACCTTGTCTCAAGCTGCAAAAGCAGCTGGACGTCGCCATCGGTACCAACACGACAAGCCGAAGCCCAACTGACTGAGGCCAAATCTCGGTGTACTTGAAACTAATAGGATTACTGCTGGATGACGTATAGAGGAATGGGTGATGCCTAGGTAGGAACCCAAGCTAAGCTAGCACGTGCCGATAAGATAAGAAATAATTCACGTGAATAAGCATCTCGGACTTTTTTCCAGACGCAACAAAACCAACCAACTATGGCAGCGCAAAGAACATCCAATGCCGTCGCGAATAAGCGCAGAGGCAAGAAGAGGCAGTCGAGAACCGAAAGTATGAAACTAGGTGATTTGGAGGGATGTTCATGTTTTAATGGCAAGCAGTTTCTTCATCCAGCGAAAGCGATAGCGACAGCGACAGCTCCGTGCCAAGCCAAAAGAATGAATCTGTAAAATCAAAATCAGTCTCGCCATCTTCGGAGGACACACCGGAGCCCGTCGCAGCCCCCGCCAAGAAGTCGAAAAAGCAGTCCAAACCAGCTGCGGTCGAAGATGAGGCAAGCCAGAAAAATGACTCCGCAGAATCAACATCGCCATCTTCATCGCCATCTTCAAGCGAAGCACCAGAGCCCGTCGCAGCGCCCGTGAAGAAATCAAAGAAGAAATCTAAACCAACTCCCGTTGAAGATGAGGATGTCTCCATGACCGATGCGCGACCAGCTCCAGTCATCAAGAAATCCAAGGCTCCTACGGAAGATTTTAGCGCCATTTACCTGCGCAAGATCGCTGCGGAGCTAGGCGACGACATCGACAAAGTGCGCGAGGCGCAGGATTTCAAGGCTAACAGCGTGCCGATGCTGATTCATGCGCTGAAGCAGGGAGAAAGTATGTTTTCGGCGGAGGAGAAGAGGAGGGTTGTGGGCGCGGCGGGGCACTAGGGAGATGGGGCAGATTTGCATGGGATGGAGTCTGGGAGATTGGTTTATTCGTTGAGGTGTAGAGTTCTTCTATCCAACCATTCGCGCCTACAATCGGGTGGCATCAATACGCCTCGACTTCGATACTACTCCTCCATTCTAGTTCAATCTTCCACGCTAGGCTGTATGGATGCCGGATGATGACCATGTCGTGCGCCAACTTCATCACTTTGTCTCTCTTCTCGGCCTTTTCTCCGCTTGGGAGCACGAGCAATGTTTCGTACGCCCTTTCCAACAACTTCTCCTCGTACTCCCGTCTCATCTCGTCGTCACTCGTCCAGTCGATGATTTCCTCATAGATGCCTTCCAACGGACTCGCCTTGTATGTCTCGTATTTGACTTCCCTTGTTGTTGATTCCAGCGTTGCACCGAGCCGGAGGCGACGCTCGTCAATGAGGCGCTTTATCGTCTGGGCTTCTTGGGTTTCGTGTATCTCGGCGATGCGCGTGTATGTAAGATGGGGAGCGGGCAGACGGCCTTCGAGGTAGGAATACACGGGTGAGGACGGAAGCTGCGTGGACAGCGCGGAGGTGTACTGGGTTTTGGTGCCGTGTTTGCGCGCGTGGTCGACGAGTTTGTCAATAGCGGATTGGGAACGGTGGGCGTCGTCCCTGTGCATGTTAGCCTCGAAACGTCTTGGGGCGCATGGCTGGAAGTACATACAAGTTCATGTATATCTCCGCCAGCTTCAATCCAACTTCAGTGTTCTCGTCCACCTTGGCAGGCCCCAGGCCTTCGTAGAGGGCCCGTAGCCCCAGCCACGCTTGCGCATCGTCGGGCTTGAGCTTCGTCGCGTCGCGATATGCCTTCGCAGCATCGTCCAAGTTGCCGAGTCCCTCATGTGCGCGCCCAAGAAACAGTCTCGCGAAATAATTGCTTGCATCCTTCTCCAGCGCGGCCTCGGCTTGCTCCTTCGCTTCGTCCCATTTCTTCGCGTCGATGGCCGACTTGGCAGCCTTGAGCGCCGCTTTGGTGGACATGGTTCGGGTTCGGAAGATGGTTTGGCCGTCACGGCGGCAGCAACGAGGGCTATGAATGCGCCATTGAGGGAGCTTTGGAGGTCTGGTGGGGTCTTTGCGGAATATCGAAGGGCAGGCGATGACGTGCGTTAGCGCGCTCCAGCCCTACGAAAAGACAAACAACAGACGTCAACCATTTTCCGTGCCTGGCTAAGTCGAGCCGCATCACAAGACTTCGCTACCTCATCTGCCCGCTTTTCTTTCCTTATTGTTGAGCATCTGTCCGAGTTCTGTGTAGCGTGTTGGCCATTCGAAGCCGGCGTCATGGCGTCACATGCGGACAGCGCGCACGACTTGCTCAATCTGCCAATATCAACCCTGCGGCAATACGTCGAGTTATTTCCAAAAGAGGGTCTTTCCAAAGTCATCACGGGATATCTGAGCAGTGGTGTTTCAAGATACCCGCTCAGAGACAAGCCCAAGAATGCTCCAGATTTGAGCGAAGGTGGGGTAGCTCTTGACGATAACGACCCCCTCACACAGGAAGACTGCTTGGTCTTGATGACAGTCAGTCAATACTGTAAAAATCTTTGAAAACTTCATCCTTACTCAGCTACAGGAAGGCATACAAGAGACGAAGCAATCTGCACTCGCACATTGCTTGCTGGGTGACTTTTACTTGTTCCTGGAAGAGTACGAGAGTACTGTCGAAAGCACGCGCAAGGGATTGAAGTATGCCGCTTCCGAAGCAAAGAAGACCGATTTGTCATTTCAGCAGACACTCGATGCACTCAACAGCACTCTTGCCACTGCCCTTGTTTACTACCAAGCGCCTAGAAATCACTTGGAGGCTAAGAACATCTTCCAGTCAATTCTTGAGCGCAAACCGCAATTCACTTCAGCTCTCATTGGCATTGGCCTGGTTCTAGAAGAGGAGGAAGAATATGAGCAAGCCCATGACTTCCTGGAGAAGGCGCTGAAACAAGATTCTTCCAACGGACGTATCGGTGCAGAGTCAGCATGGTGTCAAGCACTCGCCGGGGACTACAAGACTGGCCTAGAGAGACTTCAAGAATACCTCGAGTACCCGCAACTGGATGCTTCCACCCAGCGTGGTCGTGAGCTTCGTGCTCAAACGTTGTACAGGATCGGTATGTGCATATGGGAGCTCGACTCCTCAAATGCTTCACGGCGAGACAAGCAAGGCGCGTACGCAAAGTTCTTCGCTGCAATCAAAGCGAACCCCAACTACGCGCCACCCTATACCATGCTGGGTATTTTCTTTGAAGACTACAACAAAGATCGCAAGCGAGCGCGCCAATGTTTCCAGAAAGCCTTCGAGCTATCGCCATCAGAGATCGTCGCAGCTGAGCGCCTTGCTCGACTGTTTGCCAATCAAGGTGAATGGGATATCGTGGAAGTCGTTTCACAAAGGGTAGTCGACTCGGGTAAAGCACGTCAAGTACCAGGATCGAAGCGAAAAGGCGTCAGCTGGCCCTACTCGGCGCTCGGTGTTGTCCAGATGAATAAGCAAGAGTATCAGAAGAGTGTGGTCTCTTTTCTTTCAGCACTGCGCATCAGCCCTGATGACTATTATTCATACGTCGGCCTCGGTGAAAGCTACCACAACTCGGGCAGGTATAACTCTGCATCGCGAGCCTTCAAATACGCCGAGAACCCAGCCGACAACGTTCTCAAGAAGCGATCCGAAGACGAGAGCTGGTTCACCAAATACATGTTGGCAAACGTCAACCGGGAACTAAGCGAATTTGACGAGGCGCTGTCTGGCTATGAAGCAGTCCTTGCTACCCGACCAAAGGAGTTTGGCGTATCCATTGCACTTTTACAGACATTGGTCGAGAAAGGATGGCGCTGCATCGAGACCGGCTTCTTCGGTGAAGCTATCGACAGTGCCATCCGTGGTCTTGAGGTCGCAGCAACCATCGCGGAATACAAGCCTGACGCTTTCAATCTTTGGAAGGCTATCGGAGATGCATGTAGCTTGTTCACCTGGGCACAAGAGCGACTACCCGAATTTCCAGCGGATGATGTGCTTGACTTACTCCGGAGCAAGTCTGATGTTGGCGTCGACTTCGATGTTTTCAGGGACATCGATGACATTGGAAGCGATGCCTTGGCATCTCTCACAGCGGAAAAGGAACCCATGCTCGCAAAGGCCCTGCGCGCTGCTATACTCGCTCAAAAGCGAGCTGTTGCAAGCTGCGCGCACGACAAGCATGCCCAGGCAGTGGCATGGTACAATCTCGGTTGGACTGAATTTCGAGCTCATGTCTGTCTGGAACAGGAATGCAGCAGCGATGGAAGCATGACGACATTTCTCCGAGCGGCGATGAAATGCTTTCATCGCGCTATTGGACAGGAGGCGGGCAACTCCGAATTTTGGAACTCGCTAGGTGTCATCACATCTACACTGAATCCGAAGGTTGCACAGCATGCGTTTGTCAGATCACTACACCTGAACGACAGAAGCGTGCACACTTGGGTCAATCTGGGCGCATTGTATTTGCTGCAGAATGATACAGAGCTTGCACATCAAGCTTTCTCCCGTGCACAGTCTCAAGACCCAGACTACTCCCTTGCCTGGGTCGGTGAAGGCCTTGTCGCGTTATTGGCTAACGACTCGAAAGAAGCGCTGTCCCACTTTACGCATGCTTTCGAGCTTGCTGAATCTTCCTTGCTTCTTACCAAGCGACAGTACGCTCTGTCGACATTCGACTTCCTAATTTCTTCACCTTCAGCTGGGGGCGACATTACCAATCTCATTCAACCACTTTTTGCTTTACAGCAGCTCAACTTCCAGGCGCCCTACGACATGCCCCATAAGCATCTGGCAGCTTTGTTCTTGGAACGGGTCGGAAACCATGAAGCAGCTGTAAAGGCATTGCAGTCCGTGAGCGAGAATGTTGAGCAAGAGTACGAGAATTCGGAATCGCAGAAGTCATTAGCACGCGTCGCACAAGCGAAGACAGATCTGGCACGAAACCTTCTCGCCACAGGGTCCAACGAAGCCGCAGGTGAAGAAGCTGAAACTGCTCTTGATCTCATTTCCGAGGTCGACACTAATGCTGGCGTTCTTTCCACAGAGCAATTATCCAAGGTTCAGCTCTCGGCGCGCCTCACGGCAGGGTTAGCACACTACTTCAACGGCGCTCTCGATGCCGCCATCCCATACTTCCGGACCTCGCTCGAAGCGACCAGCTCAAATCCAGACATCATTTGTCTTCTCGCCGAGGTTCTGTGGGCCAAGGGAGGCGCAAATGAAAAGCAAGTTGCACGCGACCAGCTTTTCACCGCAATCGAGAAGCATGAAGGCCATGTCGGTCTCTTGACTTTGATCGGCGCCATGACCGTTCTCGACGACGATCTCGAAACAATGGAAGCCATCAAAGACGACCTCGATCGCTTGCGCACGAACAAAGACCTTACAGACGACCAACTTGCTCGCGTGGAGAAGGTCATCGAAGCCATCTCCATTAGTCTTGGCGGTGAGGAACAAGAGCTCGACGAAGCCAGGCGAAGCATCATGCTTACCCCGTGGAAACACACGGGCTGGTCCGAACTCGCGGACGCAGCGGATGGCGATGTTTATGCTAGCACAATGGCGAAGGAGACGGCGATGCGCAATGCGCCGCCGAATGGAAGTTTGGGCGCTGTTGGACTGGCAGGAGCGTTGGCTGCTACGGGGCATGTTATTGATGCTCAAAGAGCGATTGCGTTGGCGCCGTGGAGTACGGCGGGGTGGAATGCGTTGGCGGAGAGTATTAAGAGCGCTTGAGATGGGCGCAGGTTCGTCGAAGTGTATGATAGGACACTCAGATAGCATGTTCACTACGAGGATAGCGATGCAGTATATAAGGTAAATTTTATTCGCATGAGAAGCATAAAACACGATAAAGAAATATACAAATAGACCAAGAATATAAGCTCTTCTGGATGAGATGAGCGCATTATTCCCTTGTACATTACAGGATGTTGAATCTGTAATGTACATTAAGCTAAGATGTCTTAAAAAACTCTGTCCTAGCTTTTTTATGCGCAGAATGTTTGATCCAAACGTTTCCTTAATAATTCCTACTGGAAAAATGAGCCATCCTGTTAAGTCACTTAGTTCCCTCAGTAAAACACTCATGTTACTGAAAACAAACTATACTTACAATTACTAGCAAGCTTGGGCTAGTCCTTTTCCAAGAGGATTGATGTTCAGCGAACGGGTGCCAAGGTAACCCCAGCCGTTAGGAAGATGAAGGTTGAATTTGCGACCAGCGGATGTGATTGTTGGAGGGCCTCCGATTCTACCTCCATTTCGAACTGAAACACTGCTGCAATTCGCGTGCTCGCAGTAGCAGCGTTGCTCGGCTGCCCAAAGAGCATACGTAGCGACAGCAATGCAGACAGTCTCGCATTCCCAAACATCTATTGTGCAAGCGAATGATTCTGGGGTACAAGCGGCGACCACGCCGTAGTGAACCCCACCAGCAACCGACAAGCAGGCATAGCACTTGGCCTCTTGGGTTGGATCTTCGATGTTGATATAGTTCGGGAACCACGGTGCATCCTTGAACCTGAATCTCTTAGCATCAGCAACGGGCTGAACGCTGTAATCGTGACCACTTCCTGGAGCAATACAAGGCGATACATTTGACGCTCGTCTATATTATGCATCAGCATTTAGCTTATGCAGTACTGCTCAATACGTACTTGACAACGTCTGTTCCGTCAGGATTCGTAGGGATAGCTAAGACAGCTTGGAGGCAAAAGAATGCCACAAGGATTCTATCAAGGCTGTTTCTGATTGAGAAAGGCAATTCGTCTCAGTGATGTACTTGGAGCTCAAGTAGAAGAGGTAAGAACGTTGAATAGTGTAAGAAGATGTTGGATGTTCTGATAAAGATGTGAGCACTATGAGATACCGTACAGCTACTTATACGCTGTAGAGACGGTTCTTTCCCGGCCTACCTGTCTTAGCTCCCTCAATAGTCGGGTTGGAGGAGTAGTTAAAGTGAATACTGCATGCTACGGATCCTGGTCAATGCTAGTGTACTTAAGATAAGCCGGTGTGTCTGCGGTGAAGGAGCTCGTATTTCTAAGTCAGTCAATGTGTTAAGTTCATATTTGGTGTAGTAAGTTGACACCGAAAATTTGAGCTCTATAATATCTAGCTAAACAAAGTTTAGAAGGCCCTTTTCATATGCAGGAACAACTCAGAGGTCCTCGCCAGCCTTGTGTGGCTGTAATCATGGCTTTTCCCTACATCATTGCCTCTCTAACAGCTTTTGAGTATTCTAACTTGCAAACATTCGCGTAGCACATAACGAATGCCGCAGTTCTGGTTGTAGTGAGAACAATCAACAACGTAAATAGCCTGGTTTATTTACTTACTTCCCTCGCTATCCTCTCCTGTCGACTCTCGGCCTTATTCGTTCAAAATTTGTTTCTGACTGTCTGGTATTTCTCGACGGGTTTCTGTAATAGCTTCTTACGCTACACGGAACTATGAATAATGAGGCTAGATGTGTGTATCGGCGGATTGAGGTCTTCACAAGTCGAACGTCCCGTGTATCTTACAAGCTTGATCTCTTCTCACGACCAAATTAGCGGGACTTGAGATAACCCTTGCTTGTCCCCGTATAGAGTTTGGTATAGTTCCATGCATCCCACCAAAGAGCATTGCTAGAGCTTCTAGTGCCTTCTCTGAATCAAGACGTTCATATCCTGGTGTCTAAGATTGCGTTTAGATCTCATTGGCATCTTTTTTGCCATTTGCTCACTCCATGTGATACTCTGCATTTGTGTACCACTATTAGACATCCATTCATCATTTTTCTAATTGACTTCACTTGTTCCTAGCGCCTATGATGTGCCGTCAACCTACTTTTGCGTACATGCGCTTTAGAGATCACACGTGTAATGCGACCGATGGCCCAAACAATGTTCAAAGGCACATATACGAACTACAATTACGGCAGTCCATGAGCTTTTAATAGCTCTATCACAGAAAGGTGTCTCTGAATCGCATAAGGGGAGCAGCAAGACAGGGATTCTTGCACGGATTCCAGGTGAAAACGCTGGCGAGACCTTACAAAAAATGTAAGCTTTAAATGTTGATTTTTCAGGCTTCACCATACTAACGGGAGTAAGATGGTAAGGTTGTTGACGAGCCATCGCCATTGAATCATCATACCAACGGAGGGAAGAGAGCAAGATTGTTTACGAGAAATAACCGTTAAATCATCAAACTAATGGAGGTGAAGACAGTAAGATTGTTTATGAGCTACTACCACCCAAGAAGGTTGATGATCTTCAATCTGTTGAAAGCTCAACACGCTATATAATCCTAATAGTCAAAACGGAGAAATGATGAAGCAAAGCTGCTACGTTATGAGGAACGAGTCTGTCTTTAGCTGAGTCGCCCTGTAGCTATAACTCATGTTCGAGTTCAACACTGTAACCTGAACTCAGAGAAGCAGAATACAAGGTCTCGCTCAAAAGCCCTAAGCTCTTACAATAAGATGTCGTATAGTCGTTGTCCGCTCGCTGCTATTGGCTAGAGTGCGCTTTTGCAACAATTACATCAAAGAAACTGCAGATAGACTTAGGGAATGGCCCTGAATCCCAATTGGACGCATGAAGTGAGTTTCCAAGCTACTACGAAGGGAACTAACGTGAGTTCAAGTGACATTGCTGACGGAGTTGGAGATAGATCGCTTAGTTCGTAATCTTGGAGTTTTCATGCAAGTACCATTGTACATTGCGCGATAACTGTAGTGCGTCTCCTCAACAGCTTTAGAGAGTCGCGCTTGCTAGATTGGTGGGTGGCTTACAGTCAAACGCGCCAAAGTGCTAAAGCTGCGCTGTAAGTGTTCAATTTTTTAACTTCGCTGCATGCCCGCTGTCTAGATAATGGTCAGGATAAGGTTTGACGGATGGATTACTGGTGGAGAAGATGTTGGCACGCTGGTGTTTGTAGGGTATTAGAGTGGAATTGACGTATGAATGCAGAAAGTAGACGACGTTTGCGAGGTGAATTCTTTGTGGTAGCGACGTGGGTGATCTGATAGATGCGATTAGGACAAGGGATGTAGTAATGTTACACTTGAAGACCGAAGTCTCTGAATAGATAAAACGACTGATGAATAGACTAGGACAACTGAGTCTGATTGTCATGAAGGTGAAGGATTATGTTGGGTATATGTACTCTGTGCTAACATTATGTGGAATGTACGACAATTGATCAATCTCATTGTTCATCGGGGTCAATGTTCGAGTAGATCGTACTCATGCAGTGGTATGTGGGCGCGGTTACAACCCAGCCCCAGCACCAGGGAACTTTGCAAGCAAGCTCTTGTCGTACTTGGCCATCTGCGGACATCCAAGCTGCGCCAGAATCGGGTCCAAAGCATCAGTCAACTTCGAGACGGCAAGCACAACATTGCCGAGCAAGCCCTTGAGAATGTCCGGCGCAGCAGAGTGTACGGCCTGGAATGCGAAGCACATAGCGTTGTTGCCCTCGAGGAGCGTCGCGGCGTTGAAAACACCGCCAGTCAAATCGGCAATGTTCACACCAGTGAAGGTGTTAGGCTCGCCAGTGTTGCCTCCAATGACCGCCATGTAGGGAAGTGCTTGGAGCGCACCTACAGCGTCGAGGGCAAAGTTGAGAATGCCATAGTCGTTACCGGGTTGGCGGCGGTACCACTAATCGTGCAAGCGTCAGCTTTGTGAAAAGTGAAATGGTTGAAAGTCGCAATCAAGTTTTAAGACACAAGGAAACAAGGAGATGGAAGAAAATAGGTACAGGAGTACTACGAAAGAAAAGGAAAGAAGTGATACTTACGTTCTCGGGGATACGCTCAGCTCCATGCTTCCACTTAAAGCTTCCCCTTTCTCCACTGACACCTTCGAATGACTTGAGTGTTTGTTTCACTGAAGGAAATCTGTCGGGGTATTCGGTACTGTAGTTGGCAAAGAAGTGGGTACGTGAAGAGATATGTTTGCCGGTGTTGATCGCAAAGTGCGTGAGAGGGCCGGCCCAGTAGCGTCCGTTGGTCGCAACGGAGTCCTTGTACTCGAGCACCGCGAAAAGGATGCATGACAGTCAAATCGTAGCCGTG